GAATGATAAAAATAAGAATACCGAAACAAAAGTGATTGCAACTGCAATTTCCCCTTATTTTAAAACTCGATTCGTCAGCCGCCCAAACTCTACGGTACATACATGGTTTTTCGACCGTAAAGTGACGACATATCCATTTATTTCGACCGTAGAGTGGCGATTTATTGAGTACATTCGCTATTAGAAGTTAAAATAATTCTTTAATATTGTATTATTTTATCGAGTATTCAACTATTAAAAGTTACAAAATTATCAATGGACTATACATATATTCTAAACACATTCTTTTTTTTTTTTAAATTAATGGTCTTCTAAATTGCACGTTAACATGCTGATATGATAAAATTATATTTTAATGATATCTACGAGTATTGTCGTTACTTTTAAGCATTGGATCTACGATATAATATTTTAAAAACTCGCTTGACGACATAATATAAACATAGAGTTGATTTATAAAATACTGTTCAAACGATTTTTGAATAAGATTTTATTATATCTCAGTCAACATGTTAAGTCAAACTCAACCAAACTACCAATTTTTTAATAAAAAAATGAAATTGAAACATATAAATAGTTATTTACTAAAGTAACCTCCTATAATCAATAAATTATTTTTAACTTTTAATAATTCGAGAATTTTACAAAGTAAAGCTAGATAATTGAGGACAATTTATGTAGTTTATCACAGGAAAAAAAGGGTTACCTTTTCACACATTCACAAAATTCTACAACGTCCTCGTCAAGACAACTTTCTACAACGAATTTCTACAACGTGTCGAGCAACCGCGTTTAGAATATTATCACCCGCGGGTCCAATATCCGAATCTTCCGCCGACCTAACTGTCACTCACCTTCGGACATGTCACCCGATACACCCCCCCCCCGTTTTATTCTTTTCTCAGCCGTCCACAAAGGGCATCCGTACAAAAAGTTCACGTGTGCGGGACAGGTGGCGGGTTATGATTGCATAAACGTCGATTTATCAACGTGAGACCGTTTGGTAGATTAATCACAAAATCATACAAATTTAAAAAAAAAACAAAGGCTTTATTGGCAGTGCTTATTCAAGACGACACGAATACTTGGGCCCACTCGAAAGCAGCCCACGCGTCATACTTTTTGAATATGGTTTCACATTCTTTTAGGTTAATTATTTTCTAAAAAATATTTTATCATTTTATTTCATTAACTTACATCTTATTATATTAAACTACTTTAATGGTTATACCATTTAACATACTTATTTTTATTATTAATTTTTTTAAACTTATATTACAAATATTAAATTTTAAAAGTAATTTCATTTTCGTTATTATCGTCGATGATGGTCGATGCAATATATTATTTATTATTTCTATAATAAATTGATTTTTTTAAAAGATAAAATATTTATGATTATTTTATTGCTCAATAAAAATCAAATAAATATTATATTTGAAGAGTTTGTAGCTAAAATCTCAAAAAAGTATGGTAGATAACTATTACACCAAACTAAATACTTTTTACATAAATGATAAAACTAAGATGCTGTAGATGCTCGGTTTTGTCCGGGGTCAGATCGGAGCAGACCCAAAGCTGAGCAATTGAAGGCCCAACTCAAGTTCACGTAAATACTCTCTAGAAAACTAAAAGCAGTTATCGGGTCAGTTTTTTTAATTAATTAGGAAAATTGCATTAGTAAACTATTTTGTAAGTAGGAGGTTTATTAACCATCAGATACAGAAAAAAAAGGGGGACAAAAAACGAAAAAAAGGAGAGAACACGAAAAGAAGAAAAGCATTTCGAAAGGAAAGTATACTAACGATCAATAATTTTACAAGTGCAAAAAGGTCATAGGAAATACTATTGTAATCTTACAATTGAAAAACAAATAACGCAATAAAGGTATGTTTTCTCGAGAAATCATTCTTCAATTTTTTTATTTTCCGATTAATTTTTTTTGTGTTTTTTAAATGTATGTGTGACTGTGGTTTAAAACTAAAAATTGAGAGAGATTAGGACTTACCTGGATTGTCTGAACGCCAATGGTGTCTTATTGATCCCATTTATTCTATGTATTGGTTCCATTGTGAAGGAAAAGGTGAGATTTAATTTAGCAAAATCATAATAAAATAAAAAGAAGAGCGAAAGTGAGGATTTACCTTGGCCGAGCGTCGGGGCTGCTGTTGGGGTTGAAGAGGGAAGCGTGAAGAGACTGTATGTTCTGCGTAAATTCATATTAGTCTTGGAGGTTTTACATGTAGATAGAGGTCTTATTTGAATTTGGAGGCTCGGTTTTGGGTGTGGCCGAAAGAAAGAGCAGGTTCGGGAGAGTAAACAGTGGAGTTGGAGTCACCGACCTCTTATTGGAGTTTAGTTATAAGGTCGATTCAAGGCATTTCTAGCAGTGTAGTGTTTGGGTTTTGGTTGAATTTTTGTTAGAAGCGTGAAAAAACTGAAGTTTTGGTCCGGTTGTGGTTTAGTTCTGTGCGTTTTCGGTGAGGATTTATGGTGGTTCGGGTAAGAATGGTACCCGGTCTCCTTTACTGGTAAGCCGCGTGAGTGGAGAGACTGGAAAGGTGAGCTGTGGAGTGTGGCGTGAGGTTAGGTAGGTTCTGTGTGTAATTAGGTTAGTTTTTTACTTAGTTTAGGTTTCATTTATTAATAGTTTTGGGTTAATTAATTTTTAGCAACCTAAATCTTAGGATAATTTGCTCTCTTTGTACTTTAGCCTTATATTTACACTTTAGTCACTTTTAGGATTGCTTTCGAATTTAACCTTTAGTGTTTGTTCTGATTTCTCTATTTTTCTAGTTTTAATTTTAGTTGTAATTTTTTCAGATTATTTATGTTAAAATCCCTTATATTTATGTGTGTTTTTATTTAAGTCCCTTGTTTAATTTTCAATTTGTATGTTTAATTTTACATATATTCAAATTTAGTCAATATTTTAAACATGTATATATGAACTTTTTAAAATTTATAGTTTAGCATGTTATGATTTTGTTTTTATATTTAGGTCACATATGTACATTGTATGTTAATATGCATGGTTTACAATCCTTAATTAAAAAATATGTATGTAATTTTTTGTATGTCACGTTGTATGATATTTTTAATTTAGTTTAATTAATTTTGGTATGACATCCACTTTTTGCATAATTTGCATGATAGTCTCACGTGCATAACTCGACTTATTACATAATCGGACTAAGGGTAATCCCTTTTAATTTAAAATTGTTTTAAGTGGACAGTCATAACTGATTTGAGATCCGCTTTTATGATTTTAAAATAAAAATGTATTCCATTAGTGACGCTTAAAAATTGATCCATCACTCTAAAATTTGAGAACGAAAGAAAAGGAAATGTTCGTTTATTTAAATTTATCGATAAAAGGTTGTTATAACTTTTAAGATCTGGTCTCGATATTTGTAAATAATCGAACATTCTTTATCTTTCTAAAACGATTTGGTAATTTTAATTTAATTATTTTGAGTGCTTTTGAATGTTTTAAATTTACATTTTTATTTTATGGGATCAAAAATCAAAATAAATTCGAATTTGTAAAGTTAATTGCAAAGACGTTAATTAATCGACTAGGTACCGATTTAGGGCGTTGTGGGGGTGCTAATCCTTCCCCACACGTAACCGACTCCCGAACTCGGATTTTGGTAACGCAGACCTCAATTTGTTGTTTTAATTAAAATTAATTTTTATTTAAAATGATACAATATTTTTGGGTGCCCAATCACACCCTAATCAAAGATTGGTGGCGACTCTTCGAACCGTATTTTTCGATCGTAAAGGAAATTCAAAATTTTTCGAAACGAGAAGTCTTTTAAATCGCATATGTTTTTAAAATAAAAAGAGACAATTAATCATTAATGTGGTTTTCAAAATCTCACCTTTTTTCACCTTTTAAGAAAAAATCGTTTCGACAAATGCCTTAACCGAGTTAATTAAGTATTATTTTAGATGATTTCTTTTTATTTTACTAATAGTTTAATATTTCTAATTTAAAATAAACTCTTTATTTGTATATAAAAATCATGCTCTCTTATTATTTTACTAAAAATTAAAGATTTAAAAATTTCTGAAGTTCTTAATTTCTCATCATAAGCTTTAAATTAAATTTACTTCTTTTTTTTGTTAAGTTAGGTAAAGGGTGAAAGTGGATACCCAATACTAACCACTGTAAAATATATATTTAAAATGCATTGTGTTGTTCTAAAATGTAGGTTTTGTCAACTAAAAGAAAGATCCACCCACATAGTAAAAAAAATATTAATTTAATTAAATAAAAATAATAAATACGTTTTCAGGAGTTAAAAAGAAAAAGAAACCTAAAATAAATACTCTCTACCAGATGCCACGTGTTTGGCAGAGCTAAATGGATTGAGAAACAAGAGAAAAAGTTGATTGATAATTAATTAATCTAATTAAAAAAATTCTATAAAATAATTAATTGGGCGGCGAGGGCACACGTGACGACAAAAACCGAAGTCCCGACATCAACCTCGTCAAAACGGAATTACCCTATGGGCCCCACCCAAAATTTATTTCCATCATGATTCCCGCCGTCTAACTTCGAGCCGTCGATTCCTCTCTTGAGATTATTCCAGAACTACCACGTCTATATGAAACGGCACTCACTTCCTCTTATCTTGGCCATTGGATGATGAACCAGATCTGACCGACGGCTTTGATCAATCGAGCCGTAGATAATTTTTAGAAGTAGAAGCAGTTGATTTCTTTAATATTATTGTTACCAACCAGTGCGATTTTAATGGGATCCGCGAGTACCGTCATCAAACATCCGCCGTATCTGCACTAAGCAAACTAAAACTTTCACATTGACGTGTCACTTCATTACCTGCATGGATTTCATACGTAGTCATGGACTGCCCGTTAATATTAAAAAGATAAGTAATATTTCAAATATACAATTAAATTATTCGTTGATTCTGAAAAATATAAATTTAGAGTAAATTTTAAATTTTAAAGCTCTGATTGGTAAATATGAAAATATTTAGTATTGTTATTCAAATTTTAATTATAATAAAGGAGAAACAACATTGAGAAAATTTTATCAGGTTGTCAAAACTATAGATCACTAGATGTTACCATTTTTCTACATACATGATACATTAAAGTGCCATTTTGTTTTCTAAAAAAAAAGACTAAAGGAAAGCCCAAAACGCAGATGATCGAAGCTCAAAACGACAAGTGGAAAAAAAACTAGAGAAATCAATCCATCTCAACGGGCAACTGATTAAGGTCAAGATCAAACACTCTCCGCCGACATCCGCCTTCAAAATCTACAACCGAGGACGACGAATCGGAGTCGCTCTGAGCACCACCGGTTTTCGGGCAACCCGACCCGGTAGACGCAAAGGCATCGAAGAAATATACCGGACGATTCGCCGTCACATGGAGCGAAGAACACGCGCTGGCGAGAGTGAGTTCCCGAGGCGGCGAAGAAGAAGACTCCACTGTGCTGCTCTGGCTGGGGCTGCGCGTGAAGTCGTTTACGTTGTTTTCGGAGAAGTTTGTTTTTGCCTTAGCGCCACGGAACTCCCTTGCCGCCGCGTCGTAGGCACGCGCTGCTTCCTCAGCTGTGTCGAAGGTGCCGAGCCAGACTCGGGCCTTTTTTCTCGGGTCCCGGATCTCGGCTGCGTAACGGCCCCATGGGCGCTTCCTAACGCCACGGTAGCGGATCTCCTTGGAAATCGGGTCGGAAATCGAGTTAATCGGGCTGGGTTTCGATCTCGGAGCCATGGTCTTTTCCCTTTCTTTGTATATAACTTCTTTCAAATTTTCAAATGAAGCGTGGGCAAGCGAAAATGGGTTAAGGAAAATGGCCATGAAAGGGGTGTGTTTATATAGAAGAAGGTAAGCTATAAACGCACCATTCGGCGCTTTATTGTGTGCAGTCAAAGCAGAATTTGTGGGAGTTCGTTTTCTGTTCCATGAACCACTTTAGTTCATTACTGTCTTCCAATCATTATGTGCCACGTTTCTTCTTCCTTTCTTGCATAAACTTATATTTGCTCAAATATTTGAAAAAAATATTAAAAATCTTAATATTTTTATTGCATCATCTAAATTTGTATTTTCCTGATTTGTTCACAAGTATTTTTATTAAAATAAATTTTGAAATTTATTTTTATATTAATATTTTGGCTAAATTAAATTCTAAGGCCAAAACGAAAAAAATATAGATTAAAATTAACATAATTATTTTTACAAATGATTAGAAAAACTAATTTATTTGAGTATTGACCGACTGAATGTGATGTCATAGAAGATAAAACTAAAATATAATTGGTATGAAAATTATAATCAGTACTTAATATCAATCTAAAATTTCTAATTATTTTCACTTTTACTGATTTCTCGTCTTCTAAAAATATGCGTCTTTTATCATTACTTGATTTTTAGTAGTTCATGAAATCCTATGTTAAATTACTTATGTAAGCGATAATATGAGACACTAGCCAAATGAGAACTTTCATACTTATAAAATTTTTAACAATATTTTCTCTTGCATACAATAAGAAATGGGAACATTAGAGTTAATTTTTTTTAAAACATTTACAACTAATTTTAAATTGGTTAATCTACGTATAAAGTGATACCATAATCATAAAAATAATCAATTTCTTAAAAAATTAAATCTTAAATGTTTTAAGTTTTGAAGCATTACGGAACATCTTCATAATATACTTTACATTTCTTTGACTATTATACTTCATGTACATAAGAAAAAGTCAGAACTAATGTTGTCTCAATCATATCAATTTTTGTAATTAATCTATAATTTATCTAACTTTTTTAAAAATATATATAATATTTATTTTGACATTTTAAATTTAATCCTAATTGTACTTAAAGGAGATGAAAAAGAACAAGAGTACTCTTAATGGATCTAAAACATATAATCAAAAAAATATACGAGAAAACACAATTAACCGATCAAATTTAGTTGCTCGAAACATGTATAACAATTTAGAAAATGTATAAGACAAATATATACATGAATTTCAGATTTACGCGTATTATTATTAAAATAAGCATAGAAACGAGATAGGAAATTAAATTAAAACGGGTTCTTCCAAGAAAAAACCTGTGGATGTGACGCAGAACCGTGTTTCCAACGGGATAAAAGTTACAGGTTCCACACGCTAAATAGCATCATACATCTCCACGTGTGAGAAATCAAGAGATTATAGAATAATTAATGTACTACCGGTTGCAGCGATCCCACTGACTTGATCTGCCAGGTTTTTGACAGCCCTAAATCCACAATAAATAAAATATGATTTAAATAAATCCAAAATCGTACGCAGCCACCTCTGCCGCCACAAGAAAGACATAGTGGGCCCACTTGACATAGTGAGGATCTGAGGACGGAGTTTGTAACGGAGGCTAAAGAGGCGATTTTGTCGTTGCCTTCTTGGGGTTGTAAGGATTGACGGCGAAGCTACTCGTTGTGACGGCGATTCTTTTTCTCTTTTGTTTAGAAAAAAAATATTTGTTTGGGGAAGTATGTGTCGCGTGCCGCGTGGAACGGATCTCGTAATTTCGTGGAAACTGGTTTGGAAGGAACTGTCGGCTGGCTTTGAAGTGGTCAATTGGATCTAACGGTTGTAGGCCATTTTGGTTGCCTGGTTCTGGTGTCGACACCTGTAATTCTGCTGCTCTTGAACATTATCTTTAGTGACAATGAGCATCCGGATGTTATTTATATTCATAAATATATAAAAATGAAACCCGACTATAAGATATTGTATTATTAAATTTCTTAATTATTAAAAATTATAAAATGTTTCTTTGATTATAAGAAAGTGTTTTGTTTAGTTCTTCTACTATTAAAAGTTACAAAATATTTTAAAATCATCATTTTTAGTTAAAAAAAACAGTGGTCGTCTGAGCTGGATGTTAACATCTTAACTAAGATATGATAAATTCTATTACTAGAATCATTTGAGATGTATTTATGAATCAACTCTCTGTTTACATTATGCCTTTAAGTCAATACTTGAAAAATACCGTCAAGCTAGTGCTTGAGAACGACAATGCTAAATTTTATCATATCCTAATTAATAAGTTAATACTCAGCTCAGGCGACCATTAATTTTTTTAACAAAATAGGATAAATTTAGAATATATGAATAATTAAATGATAATTTTACAAATTTTAATAATTAAGAGACTTAACATAATATTGTTTTATATTCAGAGAACCATTTTACAACTTTTATTAATAGTAAAGAAATTTAAAGAACCAACATCCTATAGTTAGAGCTCATCTGTATGGTTTACCCTATTTTCTTCTCATTTAAAACTTTTAATACAATTATTCACTGATAGATATGTTTATTGAGTTCATAATAGTTTGTTTATGAAATTAGTATGATTGCTAGCAAAATTTAATAAAAAAATATTAATATCATCAACAATTAAATTATTATTTTTAAATATAAAAAGAAATTTTAATTTTTTTTAAGTAGAAAGCAATATAAAATTTCATTAAAATGTAGACAAAGGACACAACAAAAAAGAATGATTTCTGTAAATGATGATAATAATCTTCTAGGCTGCACTTTCTGCTGCTGCAGGGGTATACCATCCATGGTGCATCTCCGCAGCCTTCTTTCTCCGAGCAAGTCGTGACTTTCTACGAGCTCCGGTGTTCCTATGCAGCGTTCCCACCTTTACTGCTTTATCGATCACCGAATAAGCCTCCGCTATCAGTTTCTCAATCGGGAAGATTTCTTTGGCTTCTGCCTCTGGTTTCTTCCTCAGCACATCCAGTGCATCCAAAACCTTCAAGGGTGATTAAAAAAATCAGAAAAGCCATTAGGCATTTCATGGAACATCATGAACCATCTTAGAACATGCTATTAAAACAGATCTAATGTAAGCCCAGGCCTAAATTCGTTGGTTCATGCCACCACCTTTAAAAGGCGGTATCTGGCAGATTTAGGATTCGATCTAAGCATCTGCAGCTTCCTTTGTAGAAAAACAGAAAATACTTTTATCTGAACTTTGCCCTAGTTGCTTACTGGGGGTGATTGTGCCTTACACCATTGAAGTAACATAAGATGATAAGGAAGGCAGGGAAAGAATGCAAAAAAGCCAAAATCGGAAGCCATCTTTTCTCTAGTACAAATGAGATATTGGTATGGGATTGGAAGTACAATCCATGTCCGATACCCAAGTTAAATTCATATTCGTATAGGTTATGAAGGAATAATCCCCTAAGTATATGAAAGAACTTTGAAAAAACTGTGCGTACTTGTCTCAGGTAAATGCCAATATCTGACAGTCACCCCGGAGTCGAATTAACATCAGATTGATACTTTTCTATTCTTCTCCTGACCCCCAACTTTTCAGAAAATGTTTCCACCCAAATAGAAAAAACAAAAGAATTCCTATTGCTCAACAAGCATTGTACCATCTGCTAATGAGAATCACTGACAATCCAATTGGGAAACTGAAGATGTTGGAATCAAGATGAGTGATAACAGCTCAACATATCCAAGCAAGTATAATAACTCAATCGAAAAGAAAAAAAGTTAAAAAAAAAAACAATTACGAGTAAGCTACTATGTTCTGCAAAGAGCGGGTCTTGCATATGTCTACGGCCTAAGTTAGGTGAAATTTAACCGCAGAATGCTTTCATACAAATCTTGTCGAATTACAATAAATGCTAGGTTATTTCTACGTAGTAGCTTAAGTGCCGGCTCTTGTACGAGAATGCATGAGTACCCCAGGACGGATAAAAGTATGAAACTAAAAAATAATTAAGAGTCAATATGTTCTGCAAGGAGTGGATCTTGCATAGAGGAATTGGAATTGCAGAATGTTCCCATAAGAACCTTGTCGAATTACCAGAAATACTGGGTTTTATCTCTTCGTTGTAGCTTAAGTACTGGTTCTTGTATGTGAACGCATGAGACTATAAGAGTACCCTAGGATGCACAACAATCCGAGACTCGATATTTCTAGAACCCTAACACTTGTTAAGCAATCAGAGAAGCAATATGTAAGGATTGGTACCTTCTTCATCCGGGTTTTGACTTCGGATTTCTTTGCTTTGTTGTAAATTCGCCTTTTCTCAGCTTGTCGAGCACGCTTAGCAGCTGAATCAGCCTTCTTCTTTGGTGCAGCCTCACAAACAACAACAGAACGATGAATTGGTTTCCGATTCATTGTGCTAAAAGACATGTTCCCTGAAACAAAAAACCCCAATAAAGAAACGAAAATCAAACAACTCCAAATTCATCATCAATTTCCACTCACATAAAGAAGAGATTATTCTAAGGAACCAGTTCATATCTAAAATGAGGAAACAAGGGACTAAAATAACCCAAAAAAAAAATACATCTAACCAACAGCTAAAGAGTCACTTAATTCCCAACAAGCTCCATTAAATTGCCAAGAAAATCTAGTAGGAACCAAGGTACTAAAACAGGGATAAAAAATGGTGATAAACCCAGAAACAGAAACTTAAAGAATTAAACTTACCCCAAGACTTTCAAGCGAACCAAACATTGAAATCATGTAAAAAAAACTCCCTACATTAGCAATAGAAAAGGGTTATTTCTCTCTCTTCTCTCCCCCTAAAATTATAACGACCCATCAGTTGAAACTCAACATAATTACGAATTTTCATCAACGTTTTCACTTCAACTGAGCAAAAAGAGAAATGGGTATCGCATAAAACATGATAACACAATAAAAGAAGAAGAGAAAAGATACCTTTGGAGAAGATATTGTGAGAGAGGTTATTGGAGAAACTGAGAGTGTTAAAAGCACTGAGATTTTGATGCAAAGCATGAGATGAAGAGTTGATATTGCTTT